TCAGAGTATGGCAAGACCCACACATGGTGAATAAAGACGGATAAGAGTAACTACCATCTGTCTSAAATGAAAGCTACTCAAGCTGGAAAAGAAAGATATAACTATAACTTTTATACATCATTCAGTTTGACATTGTTTGATAAAGGCACATTCATAAACATCCCCTCAACCGTAAGTATAATACTCTATTCAAGGAAAGACAAACAAAACAAAAAAATAAAACCACCCTCAACGGAGACCCCACCTTTTCTCCTGCTAGTCCACAAACCAGAGCAAATGCTTTGCAAATCATTCAAGCTACTGCCAGCTGCCAGGCAGCAAACTTGCAAGTTACACTGCCAGGATGAAGTTGCTGAAATCCCTCAGWTGTTTCCAATCACTACCCTCCACGCTGCAGAGTGGCACACACAAATAACAGCACACTGCAAGTCATCTTAATGTTCTGTTAACAACTTGTACTGTTTCAAAGAACATTATTAGACTCCTACAAAATACTAGTAATAATTTTCTGTTAAAGAGATAGTGAACTATTTCTTACATCTTGTAYTGCTAACATGAAATCAGTGTTTATAGTGCAAAAACACAAAGAATTAAGATATGCAAACAGGACTATCATTTCCCAAGAGGTGAGGAGTCATTCTTTGGATAAAGATTTGGCTAAAGACAACTGATTCTGCATATAACTATAGTAGTTTCCTGAAATATACGTAAAACACAATATGAAAAAAAAGCAGGTACAAACTACTAGCAAAAAAAAAAAAAGTTTTATTTTATCTCAACTAATGTCACTTGGTGCAGAATTACCTTTTAAAGTGTTCCTTTCTGAAGTGCACACATATACGAGGTTAAAAGCATATAGAAAATACCACCCCAATCTGATCAATGTCTACAGAAATGGGTATTACTGACTAGACTAGTTACATCCTTTGCTAAATTAACTTTACAATTCTATTAAATCAGTTATAGTTCTTGTGTAATGTCAGGAACAATATCTTAACATAAAAAGTAGGTTTTATAGCAGATATTTACAAAGGAACCAAGCTAGGAAATGGCTCTCTTGTAAGGCTAACCACAAAATATCTCTTTTACCAGTAAAAGTGCTGCATTGAGAAACATGTGAAAAAGACTGTGCAAGTAGACAAAGGCAGAAAGCCTATTTGGAATAGGCGATCGCACGATCAAGTGCTATCACCGGCCCATACACATTATTAGGTCTTCCTAACTTCCAGCAAGAAGGAAGATCAATAAAAATTGGAAAAAATAATCAATTCCATTGCATGTCAAAACACAGCTTCCGGGGTAAAGATTGTTTCATACTGCAGTGATAAGAGTTAAATAACAGTTCATGGAAGACAAGCTGCATTCAAAGAGACAACATAATGACTAAGTCAACACACAGATACTATTACTTGCATCTGTTTTCTCAGCTGACTGAATCCAGAAAAACCTGTACCAAGTATTTGAGATTTAATTTTTTTTTATAACATATGAGGAAAATTCAAATCCTTAGCAAAAACAGTGCTTTATCACTTGCCTTCTGAAAAGCAGCTTTTTGTTCACAGTCCCAGATATCCCGTGGCTCCTAAAAGCACACATTCTGAGTCCTCATGCTTGCCTATCTCCTATAGGCTGTCATTACTAATTTTATCAACTGTCTAGYACACACATAAAAATACAAAACAAGCACAACGTCATCTTCGCCTGCAAAACACCCCCACACAAGGCYTTGTGGCAATAATTCCTCTACCACTAAGAAGATCCATAATTCTGACTTTATCCTCTAACAAAGTGCCTGACTCAAATCCCATGAGTGATGACAGCAAAAACATCTCAGCAAATGCAAGCTATCCTAAGTGCACCTTCTCCTGGTCAGACATTTATTGATTCTGGTTGCTGATTAAGCTTTTCAAAGACACTGCACTTACTTCTACAGCCTGCTATCAGAAAGGGATAACATTTCACCCAAGAAATTAATGGGAAAACCTCAGTACCTCAAAAATACCTGAAGCTCTATGTGATTCAGGATATGACTGTTACAAGGCTCTATGCTGAAAACAAGCATCAACTTCTGAAAATGAAAAATCTGTCTTTGACTGGTACTTGGTACCAATAAAGTCATCTATTGAACATGTTATGCTCAAAGCTCTTTTATTGAACAAAGTGAGAGTTAACATACAAAAAAGAAACTTTTTTGAAATTTGGTCAAAATAAGTAAAATGCTCTGATCAAACAGCGAAAATGATTCATTGGGTTGTACTAAATGACAACTGCATTGACAAAAGAATTGATCACATCTCATTTTTGTAAGATGCGTCATAATTAACATTATCTTGAGGTAGACAGACTAAAAAGGTTGTCTATATAAATTGCTTTAGTATGCTTGCTTTCCTCACCGTCACCATGACTTTTTAAAATAAAGTACAGAATACACTATGCTCATTGATGAACTTGGCTTAACTTGTTTGTTTCCACTCCTCTTAAACATTGTTTTTGTAATTATTTGTAAAGTTGATGAGATTTTAAAATAATCATAAGCTATGCATCTGAAGATATGTTGTGAATCCTAGAATAAACTCAACTTCATTTATCGGACACAGATGCCAAGCAGAAGAGATGGAAGGGAAACTGCAGAAGTCCACACGTCTCAAGAGAAACAACAGCTGCATTAAATGGACTTGGAACTGAATATGAAGATACAGTATTTCCTCAAACTCACAACTAAATAACATGTACATATGTGTGTATACATACATACAAGCATATATAGAGAAGTATATAGAGAGATGGGTATAAGGTTTAAAAACAGCACACAAGTGAGGGTTTTTATGGTACCATCACAAAAGTTCCCCATAAAGAAAGTAAGCAGCAACTGGCCTTAAATCACATGCAGGTCTATACAGCATTATTTTTGATTCTTGCCAGAAAGCATTCAATAGAACCTATTCCGGTTTCCAGCAAAATTAATCTGCAATTCAGTACACAATTCTTTCATCAAATATATTTTTTAAGAAAAATATTTTCTATTAATGGACCACTTTAGCATCTAATAGTAATTTGATAAACAGTAAATGAGATCATTTTAACACAGTTTGGGGAGTAGGCATAACTCTTCTCTTATTTTTAATTACATATGATAGATTTTTTTTTAATGAGGAAAAAATGAATGGCACTTAAATCCAATTCCTGTTAGAATTCTCATTAACGGATGCTTAATCCCATCATCACCACCCTTTGGCAACAGAAGGGTTGCCAAACTTTAACTGCAACATGATGCAGAAGTGATACTGCATTCTTGCATGACTCCGAAGAGCTGACAATTTTTATTCTCTGCATTTCCCCACATGGTTCTGCATAACATAAAAAGCATTATCCAAACAGAAATCTCCACATTTCTAGTGGAAATGCCCCTAACAAACCATGTGCTCACAAAAAAAAAAAGAAAAGAAAATGTTCAATTGGCTTACAAAATACAAGGCTTTGTGCTCAGAATCATCAAATGGATCGGTTTTCTTGTTGCTGCCAGTAAATGCTGAATGTGTTACTTCCAATTATAGCTATAATCCCAGGGTTATATTATCCTCTATCACGTTTCACTGAAGCTTGGGGATTCAAAATCAATTAAAATAATGCTGTTTTCCAAAAGAGTTCAAAAATCAATACTGAATTGAAAAAAAAAAAAAGATTTTTTTTTAAATTCAAATGCTTAACTGTCAAAATCTTGAAGGTTCCTTTTTAACTTTCCAATGCACACCCTTTGGGTGTAAGTTCCTATTTTAGTGAAGTGCAAATCCAAAAGAGGAAGCAAAAGAGACAATCATTTCCCAGAGTAATTGTTACTGCAGATTCTGCCAACGGCAAGAATTCTACAATTGTATTTTAAAAGTTCTCATTTAATATTGTTTTATGTTTAAGTGTGAAAGCATTTTATTCCACAATTAACATTTTCTTACTTCTCTACAGTTCAAAGAAAATTTTAAAAAGAAGCTGTCTTTTTTTTCTGATTGGCTTTACTTTTCAATTCCATATTCTGGTTCCAAATTCATATTTAATAACATTGATACATTTAAGTTATAAACACTAGGGGAAATGATTAATGGAAAAAAATCATAACTGATTTAGTGTCTTTAAAAAGCCAGTTAGTAGCATGAATCCAGGTGATGCTGCTTTGATCATTAAAACATGCTCCAATACCCTTAGAACAAAGCATTTGTTAAAGAATCAAGAAGTCCTTTTTTTGTGACTCTACACAACTCCTAGACAGACCTACTTACCAGACATTTTGCTACCTAACAATATCGAAAAACATAAAGCCAGGAAGAGAAAATATTTGGGGAGGTCCTTCTAATTACCATCCGCCTAAATGACAGGCGTCAACAACATCAGTTATGCATTAAGGTTATTTTGCGGGAATTAGGTGTGCGTAACCTACGTTCTCCTTCGTTATTCTGCAACTGYGGACACCTCCCGGGCCAAGGCCCGGTCTGAGAACGGCTTGGTGCCCTGCGATATATAAGCCCGGTGTCAGCGCAAACCCCGAGGCGTGTTGCCCAACTCGCCATCCCAGCCTGGGCTCGAGCGCAGGGAACCCGGTGTGAAAACGGGGCCGCGGCCGAGCCGGGCGGCCCCCCCCGGGCCGGGTGCCCTCCCTGGGCGGCGCCCGGCCGGGCTGCGGCGCGGCCGGCCGCCAGAGCGGGGACAAAGCGAGGCCACCGCCATCCCCGCCGGGGCTGCGGGGTGTCCCCCTCCTCCTCCTCCATGATCGCAACTAACAGCGTTTCGGGCAAAACGCGGAAAAACATCCCCATCCCTYCCACCCAACAAAAAAAAAATAAAATTAAAAAATTCCCAATGCACAGGACGGGGCCCGGCTGTCAGCGGAGCCGCAGGGCGGCCCGGCGCAGCCTTTTGTTGCTCGCGTGAGGGCGGGCGGGCGCGGAGAGGAGAAGCCCCGCGGCCGCCGCCCCCGCCGCCGCYGTCAGCCCCGGCGCGCCCGCACTCACCGCTCGGTGCTGCGGCTCGGGCGATGTGCGCAGCGCTCGCGCAGGCGGCCCCGGCCCCGCGGGGGCGGAGAGGAGGCGGCCGCACAGGGATGTCAGCGAGGGGCGGGCGGAAGGAAAAGGGATTTTCTTCCCTTTTTTTTTTTTCCTCCTTTCTTTCGGAATCGCGGGGAGAGAAGGAGATGGAGGAGAGGAAGCCGCTGGGCAGCGCGGCCCGTCCGGATGCGCTGGCGGGCCCGCCCCCGCGGCGCTCGGCGCCGGGCCCAGCCCCGAGGCGCGGGCGCTGACAGCTGCGCACAGGGATGTCAGCGAGGGGCGGGCGGAAGGAAAAGGGATTTTCTTCCCTTTTTTTTTTTTCCTCCTTTCTTTCGGAATCGCGGGGAGAGAA